GGTTTAATAAACATGAATAAGTTGAAACACACAAGAAAACAATTTCAAGATTTCAAAAAAATTTTGCAGCAAAACCCTAGGTTGGTTAAACCATTTTGGATTAGGAAAGGGCTTGGTTTTATCTTAAATTTGATGCTAAAGAATACCTTAGGGAGTGGTGTGGCTAAATGAAAAGAAATAAGGGAAGGAAAGACCAAAATTTGGATCAAAAGGGAATGAAACCAAGATTGGTCATGGAGGTGAGGTTGTAGAATTTTCTACAATGAGTTGAGGGATAGGGCACAAATTTGGGGCACAACAAGGATCAAATGTAAGCTAAATAAGTGGTTAACTAGAGGGAGATAAACCTAAAGAGAGCAAGGGACAGAGGTCCAATTTAGTGCCACATCTAAGTAAAACTCATTAAAAGACCAAGACGATTTTAGTGCAAGATTCCTACAAAGATTTTCAGCAACCAAAAAAGAAAAAAAAGATTATTTGAAGGCGTATGAGGAACCTAATGAGGTATAAAATCAAAACTAATTAGAGGTTTAGAAGTGGACTAAGGCAACTCCATAAGAAGAGAGAAGAAAATAGCTCAAATTGACTTAAACCTTAGACAAAATCTAGTATAGAATTTTCTACAAAAAATTCCAGCACCTAAGCGATCTTGTTTGAGACTTATAGGAGGCTAATTGAGACCTTAAAACAAACCCAATGAATGGTAAGAAGGTGGCCATGACAACTTTAAAAGAAAAGGAAAGAAAATAGCCCAATTTAGTTACAGTTTTATTAAAATTGTGTCAAGTATAATGTAAGTATGTGTATAAGCTTAAGAAGTAAAACTTAAAAATATTTAGAGTAACCTTAGGAGGTTCTATATACCTCTAAGGTGCATGAAAGGAGTTGCAATTGAATTAATCAAGTAAAGAAAAAAGGTTAAAGCATGGTGTTGGAGGATAAAGGAAAGAAAAAAGAATAGCATGAAAAGATGTAAAGTCTTTCAAAAAGAATAAAAACATGGGAAAAAAGAATAATATAAAACTTAATATTTGCATGCATTGCATCATACATATACTGCATTTCGCTCATACATATACAATTTTCACTTGTAGCACAGCAGATTGAGCTGAGCTAAGAATTTAAATCAAGTTGAACAAGTAGGTCATCTCTAGACTATTAGCATGGTGAGTGGCATCTTCCTAATGTTATAGTTATTTTTCCAAGTGTGTTTTATAACCAATGATAATTATTTCTAAAATCACTTGTATATTGACATTAAGAAAAAGGAAATGGTCAGCTATGTTTTGATTTCTGTTGTATGCTTAGTTTGATGGCTTTTATGATATTTTGTATTTCAGCACTAGAGTAGGAATGTCGGGTAGCTACTCGGGGCAAGTGGTAGTTCTATATGCATGATACTATGATATTACATGTTATATGATATGGATTTGGATGCAGTAGGGGATCTAGAGGCTGCAGACTGTATTAGTTTGACCGAGGGAATGGTAGCAACCCTCAATACAGATTATACAGTGCCGTAGCGCCTGACATGTTTTATTGATTTTCATGACCTTTATGTTTTACTGCCCCTAAATGCATCATATTTGGGTGTGTACATCCATTCAAACCACACACATGATATGTATTATAATTCTTGAGCATTTCTTATGTTTTCTGTGATTACCAGATGCTTTCTGTGGTTATCTGATTTCTTCAGAATCTATTTGTTTATGCTATGGCCGATGTTACTATACAACTTTGATTTTCTCGATATTGACTCATCTGCTTTGTCTTATTTTAAAATTTCATAGGAAGGTATTTGTAATTACTATAGTATTAAAATCTGACTGTTTCCACTAAGATTAGGTAGTATGTCATTTATTGGAACGCATGTCTCACTTCTCCATCTTTCTCTCATGCAAATTACAAGAAGGATCTCGCTAAGGACATTAGCATTTGCATTATTGTATTAATCACATCTTATATAGCGGAGATTGGGTTAGTAGGAGATTATGCACACTATAGTGTGAGGTGAGGTTTGAAAATTTTGTAGATAACATAGAAAATAAAGTGATCGTATTATTAGAAAGTTTATGTGGATAGATGGTTACTAGAAATGATAGACTAAAGTTTCTGAATGGTTCATGCTTGTGTTATGAGTGCATATGTTGAGTTGTTTGGTACACTATAGGTATAACAAGTTACACAGGTTAATTGAAACATATGCATCAAGGGTTACAGTGACTAGCGTGCTACTGTGCCCCTAACATAGTGGTGTGTTGCTTGTTACTTGACTGTCATACCTTGTCTAGTAAGTGAAGGCGGGGTGTGACAGTTAAAAATGATATCAAGGTGAAATAATCTAAATCAAACCAGCGGCGTACCATAGTAGCCGTTGGAGAGAAAAACGGAAGGCAATGATAGTCTACGGCAGTCGACGAAGGAGATGGGACAGCGGTGGTTGGTGGTGGGGCTAAGTAGCACAATGGTGAGAAGGTCCACAATGACTGTGGCACTTGAGGATTCGACGGAGGGAGAAACCCCTCCCTCTTCAATTTGCACTTAAATCCCTCAAATCTTTTGTCAACACACTTAAGTGCCTATGGTTTCAGAGTTTTACACAACTGCCTCGATATCTTATTTTCATTATCCTTGCAAGTTCAAGTTCATTCAATTAAACCCTCTGAATTCGAGCTGCGTATTACAAATAATATAGGACTTAAAACAGTAATAAAAACTAACATCTCTATCATTTATTTATTAACTAAGATAAATGATAAGTTAAGAGTGATATAATTATAATTCCCTTTACAACCAGAAATCAACAGTATTGTGACAAGGAGGAGTGAATAAGAGCCAAATGCATGAACTTACAGATTCCAATTGACAAGTTCATAAACACCAAAATTTTCTTCTCTTGACCCCTGCGTGAGAAGCCAGTCAAAGCAGAGTGGCGTAATTGAGCCGCTGGGCCCTTGTTGGTTGCTTTATTATGTTCATAATTATGGGAGAGCAGATAAAAACAAAACAATTTTGAAAACATCAAAACTAATTATCTAATAAAAGCATTTTATATAATATATGATTTATTTTATAAACCCAAATTTTCCTTCTGTTTTTGCTTTTGCACCCTTGCAGTGGTTGTTATTTCGCTTCCAAAGCTGGTAAATGCACCGAGTTATATAATTAAATGGTTAAAGTATGAACTGTCCAATTTTAATTGGTAGGATACAATTGGCACAAGTTATAACATATTAAGTGGACGTTTAGCATGATTTTAACACTCGTTAAGTATTAATCTGTTTCGAACACTGATTTTATAACTTGTCAAGTTAGATTTAAAAGTTCAAAAATTTTTAAATGTCCAATTCGAAGATAGAATTTTAAGAAGAGAAAGTTGAAAAAGTTTAGAAAAGCATTTCAATTCTAACCTTTAAGATAAAACTTTATCAATTAATGTTTTCATATGTTATGCAGACACATGTGTGTATGCGTAGATATATTTATACTATTACGATATTTTTATTTGCCAAACTCAACGTTTCTGTATTGAATAAATAGTTCAAAGATATATGAATAAATATGAATATAATATATGTATAAACATTTTTATTTTTAATTTTTTGAAATTATGAGAAAAAAATACTCATATTATAAGCTTTTAAATCATTATTATATCATATACAAACAAAAATATCTGTCCTGTCTAACTATTTACTTGAAAAGGATGCTGATCCAATTTGTAATATACTTGTCGGAGCACCGTGCGGTGTTGTAACCTTTGTTAGTTCGAGTTGTTGTATTTTTTTTTTATCTATTTTGTTTTTTTTGTTTGGTTTCTTAATCTTATCTGAATAAAAATAGATTAAATTGTTGGATATTTTCAATTGAACTATCTTGCTAGTTGAATAACAATTAGATATTGAATGATAGAGTTTAAATTAGAATAAAGAATTAGAGATTATTACGACAGAATGTTGAAATACTTGAAGAAAATATATTCAAAAAAGGGCTAATCTTAATTAAAAGTGTAAAATTGAACAGTATGAAGGAACGATTATGTAAATTAAGTCAGGGCAGTCAATGGATATGGGCCTTTGAAGGGGTGTGATTCATCCAAAATCCAGAAATTGACGTAAGGGAGACACGTTAACAAATATAACGTAATATGTGATGACGTAAGGAAGAGACGTAAGCAACTTTGGGGGCACCTTGCATTAAATTTATGAACAAATGGAGTTTCTCTTTTTCTTTTTTTTGTGGGATGTATAATTGTGTAGTGGAGGTTGGTCAAACGAAAGGACGAATGGAAGATTGAAAATGGCAACTCGTTTTGAACAAGACGAGCGCAGACAAACTACATCTAATCCAATGACGTCGAAGTAGGAATAAACTATATCTTACACTTCGATCACATCTCGCCGAGAGTTGAATTTGTCGAAAGGGTATGTATGGCTAAGAATCTCTTTGTAACAATTTATTAAGCGGGAGTAATTTAAGGAAGACAGTCTTTGGATCGATAATTGCAAAAGTAGTATGAATCGATTTCTTCAAAGAATTTGAATGTCATCCCGTAATCTGAATCAGAAATGCTGTACCTCAATTGCTGCTTTTCTACTTCAAAGATGATTATTTAATAACAACTTTCTTTAGAAAATATGCTTTGGGACAAAATTCTTTACTAAATGCAGACTTCTTCCCGTGGAAAATTCTTTCTTGTCCCGCTTCCCTTTTTGTCTCTGCCTCCCTCCCCCTATCGCACACGTCAGTTGTCCAAAAATTGATATGTGACGTAAGGAGACACGTTAACAACTATAACGTAATATGTGATGACGTAAGGTGACACGTTAACAACTATGACGTAATATGTGATGACGTAGGGAGACACGTTAACAAGGGAGGCATTTGATGTGTACATGTATGGCTCTTCTCTATCTCTCTCGTCCTCTGCAACTGCTATAAATGACGGCCCTTGCTCTATACTTCTCCAACCCCTCCATACCTCGACAGTTAGAAAAATGGGTGAAGCTACAATCAGGCTTTTCACTCGGATCTCGTCTTCACTCGTTCTCTTTCAGTTTCTGATCTCAATAGGTATGTTTATGAAATTGCTATTCTGACATTTCCTATCTTCAGGTTTAAATATTCAATTATTGATTTAAATTCATGATCAAAGCTTCTAGGCTGATTATCGTTTTTCAGGTGTTGAGGGTATTGAATTTAGCGTTGTGAACAACTGTAATCACAGCATATGGCCAGCTATACTCGCAAATCCAGTCAGCCCCGCCTGGAGCAGACTGGCTTTGAGCTCCCAACTAACACCTCCCGCACACTCCAAGTTCCGAATCCCTGGGTAGGCCAAATCTGGGCCCGAAATGGCTGCAAATTTGACAAATCTGGTTTCGGTTCATGCGCCACCGGAAACTGCGCTTCCGGCAAGATTGAGTGCGAGGGAGCCGTAGACGCATCTCCGGCGACGCTAGTGGATTTTACTCTCGGGCCGGGCGCCATAACTCGTACGACGTTAGCCTCGTATACGGGTTTAACCTGCCCGTGATAGTGGTACCCTTGAACGGGACCGGCACTTGCCGGTCCGCCGGCTGTAAGGTGGACTTGAACCTCAGGTGCCCGACGGAGCTGAGAGCCGCCAACGGGTTGGCTTGTAAGAGCAGTTGTATTGCATTCGGAACCCCAGATCACTGCTGTAGAGGCGCTTTTGGCTTGCACGACACTTGTAAGCCGTCAAATTATTCTGTGATTTTCAAATCAGCTTGCCCCCGCTCCCTCATCATCGGTTACAGTGATACCAAGAGTACGTTCTCCTGTAGAGGTGCAGATTACAGGATCGCGTTTCTGCCCCTCAAATGCTGGTGCAAGGTATAATTATATGAGATTCTTTCTTTTTTCTTTTTTGAAGTTGTTTTGTTTTAGTTGTAAAAAGTAGAAAAAATAATTTAAAATTTTGTTTTTTTGGGAAATTTTATATAAGTTTTATCTTTTCCTTAAATATCAAAGTTTCAGCTATTTTTGGATAATCAAATATTCAAATAATTTCTGAAATGTCAAGGTACAAATCAGAAGTAATTAGAGCTTTTCTTTTTGCATAATATCTGGTCTTTTAAGGACAAAAAGTCAGAAAATTTTCTTTTCTGCATTTTTTTGTTTTTGATGACCAAAAAGTTAAATAATACACCACCTACTGGTGGATGGCTGAACAGGGGAACCAGGTTTTCAAAACTAAAATTAGTGATCTATTTAAGGTTGTATTTTTAACTTGTGGTTATTTTTTTGGTCTGCAGTAAAAAATCTGCAAAAAAATTCACTTCAGCGGCCTCGATAACCACTGAAGAACCAGAAAGAACCGGTCCGAGACTCTATATTCGGTATCAAAATTTAGGGTTGTTGGTTCACCTTCGTTTCCCGGGCCACACGAATGATAGGATCTGGACTTTCTCGCTTTGTGCTTCACTCGTTTTTCCTTTTCCGGGTCAAGAGGTTGTAGTGTTGTATATACCGTCCAGTTACATCGCTTTGTGCTTCACTCGTTTTTGTTTTTCTGGGTCAGGAGGTTGAAGTGTTGTACTGTCAGTTACATGGACGCTTCTGGATATCAATAAAATATTTCGCTTGACACTTTCGTTTCTAGTTGCAATGCTTTTCAAACAGTTTTGGCCTCCTCAAAACCCTCTGAGATTTTTGTTTTAATTATTAATACTTTATATTAAAAAATTAATTTTTTAATATCAAAGTAAATATTATGATAAAAATTATTTTTTTTCTTTTTTAAATTAAAACTGAAAAATATCCAGTATTGTAATTATAGTGGAATACATGTGGTCGTTGTGGACTTTACTGGTAGCGGAATTGTCAATTTGACTTTTCCATTTTCTATAGCAGTTCTCAGTTGGCTTTATTTTTCGGATGTGCTACTTTCTAATTTCAAATAATAAGAAAATGTCAATTCAACCTTAATTGCAACACTAGGTATTGAAGTTTTTAATTTTAAAAAGAAGAAAATTAAATTTTTTTATACTATTTAATTTTATATATTAAAATAAAAAATTTAATATAAAGTATTAATTATTCAAAGAAAAATCTCATGCACGTGAAATCCCATCTCAAACTCTCAAAAATAATCTTTTACGCCTGTCTAGGCAACCAGAAAAAAAAAATTATAAAACCATCATGCAAGTTATCCGTGCAATATATCACCTATTGTTCATGTTTTCCCCATCAATTATGGAGAATTTCTGCGTTAATTATTTTAATTTTCTAGAGCTTTTAATTTTGTTTATCAAGTTTTTATTTTTACTTTTAAAATTTTAAGAAAGGAAGGTTGTTAAATAAAATGGAACTAATAAGAAGTGGGGGTCAAAAATTTTTTAAAATCTTTTTATCCTCTGTGTACATGAATTTCTAAATTTGTCTTTTAGTTATATTACTTATGCGCAGGATACCAAGAACATGGTACGCTTTCGATAATTTTGATATCCCACTCAAGATAATTTCTAAAATTAAAAAGCAAAAAAGAGTAAGTAATTTATTTTTATCGTTTTTTAACGGAGATATATAATTATGTGTGTATACAAAGGTGAAAGTGCAATTTGATTGTCAACTTCTATAACATGTACGTAGTGACGTATGCCAAGAGTCTAGAGGTGTGGTGGCATTTAAAATTGGGTTTGTCTAGGATTAGTCAAGTATCGTACTAGATAAAAGTTAATTAATTAATTTTTAATCATTGATTATGAAAAACAATAATTTCAGTGATTTAAAAAAGTATACTCACTTTTTAACAATATGTCACGACCTGAAAGTTAGATTCGTAACTAGTGCTAGAGTTAAGATAATCTCAATCCCGCAAATCTCAAATTATCAGAATTATAACAAAACTAATTAAAACTCCATTTAATACAATATCCCAAAATCTAATACAAGTTTTCGAAAATCCCATACCAACATCAATATCTACAAATCCTTATACTCAAATTTGTCTGTGATTACTAAGCGAACTAAAACAAATACACCTCAGAAATAAAATAAAGACTAATTGCTATATTCAAAAATCAGATTGGCTGGAATTACGGAATCAGAATTGGTAGACTACTCTCACAGAGCAGAATCAGTCAAGCGCATGGAACTTAAGTCTGGAAAAAAAAGAATGAGTCTATCAACCCAATAAATAATAATACATATTTACATGTCAATGGACATATATTAGTTAATGTTATCAAAACAAGATTTATTTCCACTTATGCAACTTTGGAAGTTTTATAATAGAACCTAATAGATACACATATAACAATCTTATCGTGTCAAACTCACGTAGTAGTCTAGCACCACCCCTACTAAACTGGGATACATACAAACTTATCATGTCAGATCCACGTAGACGTCTAGCATCACCCCTGACAGCTTTTAACAATTTATGTTCAGGCCCCTCAAACGTTTTATTTTATTCTCATTAAATCTCAAACTCTTAATTCTTTCAATTACCTCCTCCACCATTAAATTAAAATTTTAATTTCTCAAAATTTGTGATTTTACAATCTTCTCCCCTTAAAAGAAATTCGGTCCCTGAATTTAATTATTATTATACTAATTGATCTTATGTTCCAAACGAATGGGGTACCTCGAACACATCCTTTCCTCCGACTCTGTTATAAATACTATCTTCTTAATCCTCATTTCTTTTCTTGGTAATTATCGATAGCTATCGGTTACTTCTCACATTACAAAACGACATCTAACATGTAACAAGTTAGGTAATTATTTCTAAAGCATAGATACATGGTGCATCACAAAAACTTAGGTGGAATGGCCAATCTATAACAATACCTCAAATAGACCAATGTATCGAGGACTCAGTTTTATTTTCCTTCCAAATCTCATGATACCTTTTAAGGATAAAACCCTCAGAAACACATGATAACCCATCACAAGTCAAGTTCCTAAAGCCGCTGATCGACCTAAGATTTTAGCTTGCTTTAAGTAGCTAATATCAGCTGTCCAGTCAAATTATCCTTATCAGTTATGTCTTGTATTAAGTCTAGTTCTATAATCTTTAGCCTGCTTTAAGTAGCTAATATCAGCTGTCTAGTCAAATTTGCCTTATTAGTTATGTCTTGCATTAAGTCTGGTTTTATAATCTTATCTTTTCTTATCTCAGATCATCTTATTAAAGATTTACCACTTCTTCCATATAATACCTCAAAACTTGCAATCCAGAAATTTGCCTAATAAAATCGATCAACAAGGAGTGGTTACTCCAGTTATTACCAAAACACATATCCAAAACTTTCATTCAAGTTCGCAAAACCAATAACGATGTATCTCTATCATTACTCTAATCAAACAGAACTTATTTTCATGTATAACCTAGACAGGTTCTCTTACAAGAAAGGTCGCAAAAGGTTTTCTTGATATCTCAGAACATTGAATTTTGCATCACGATACACAGATACACAAATACATTGATCTAATTTCACACCATATAATCTACACAGAACTAGTATCACGATTTTTCATACCAGTTGCCTCCACATTGGCCTCCTAATCGTCCTATCTAGTTAAAGCATTCATTTGCACCTGACCCTTTCTGGTCCGGCCACGGTCTTAACCACCCGAGCCTTGTTCTTGCCCACAAACTGACTGCTCAGGAATCGACGAAGCTGATCTACTTGACTTCTCTCTTATCTAAGTATCTCCAACCTGCATTTGTGGCAGTCTTTAATCTTATGCCTGTGATCTCCACACCGATAGCAAGCACTACCCTCTCTGCAACACCGGCCTTGATGCCAACATCCACAAATGCAGCAAGTCAGGCCTCCTTTCTCCTATGTGTTGGCTCTGGCCCAATCCCCGTAGAGCCCCTCGAGTCCTTGAAGTTGAACTCCCTCCAGCCTCTAGTGCTCAAAAACCGGTATTATTCAAAGTTTCGGTCCTCCCCTAGTCCATTACCCTTTCCACCAGGGTAACTAGAGATTGTTGTATCGCAGTCATACTCATAATAATCACTTGCTACAAGCCCTGTATAGCCTACATGACCTCGACCACTCTATCAGACTTATCATCAGATCGAGTCTCCTTTTCGACTCCGCATGTCCAACTCATCTGGTCGTCCTCCCATGACCTCCTCGACTACATCTCAGTCGACCCCTGTCCTCTAACTAGTACTAAAGATTATCTATACATCCGTACATCAAAGAGAATGAGACTGTCTCACTGGCTCCTCAGGCTCAGAATCTAAAATCAGTTTTTCGAATGGTGCGTCTATTTACTTAGAAATTTCTAGAGCACAAAAGACAAGGGTCAGAATTAGTACAAGATCAAATTTCAATTGAGAACACAATAACCCCTAAACCGCGTTTCTATAGCCCCTCGATTATGAAAATGGCTGGCTCATAATCATAAGCGAGATGCTACAGAAGGACATTGCTCCATGATTACAGATAATTTAGAGCTCTGATTCCACTTTTGTTACGACTCGGAAGTCGGATCCGTGACTGGCACTAGAGTTAAGATAACCCCAACCCCGCAAGCCTCAAATTATCAAAATTATAACAAAACTGATTAAAACTCCATTTAATAAAGTATCCCAAAATCTGATACAAACTTTCAAAAATTCCATACCAAAATCAACATCTGCAAATCCTTAAACTCAAACCTGTCTGTGATCACTAAGCGAACTAAAACAAAATACACACTAGAAATAAAATAAAGACTAACTGCTATACTTAGAAATCAGATTGGCTGGAATCACAGAATTGGGATTGGCAGACTACTCTCACGGAGCAGGATCAGTCGGGCGCACAGAACCTAAGTCTAGAAAAATAAAGATGAGTCTATCGACCTAATGAATAATAATACATATTTACATATCAAGGGACATATATCAGTTAATGTTATCATAAAACAGAATTTATTTCCACTTATGCAACTTTGGGAGTTTTGTAACAGAACCTAAAAGATACACATATAACAATCTTATCGTGTCAAATTCACGTAGTAGTCTAGCACCACCCCTGCTAGACTAGGGATATAGGTTATGCAATAGTCTAATAATTTGATAGTCCTTTAAAACCATTTTTCAAAGTTTACTAGAAATAGTTTACAACTTTTTAAAGTGTCCAAACATAATAGTAACAGAAAATCAGTTTTACAAATTTTCAATGTTCAACATATCAGAAATCAGAATCAATAATTCAGGACACTTCCAAACAAATCAAAAATTTCATATATGTCCCTTGTAAGCTTTTATAACATATTAAATTTCAATTTCAAAATGACTGAATTTATAAACAATTTAGTAAAACTCATCATTTAACAAATACAGAAAATAACAAAGCATATAAATATGTATTACTACTCACAGATACTGGAAAACTACAAAACTCGAGTTTTGGTACCTCGGCTTCATGAGAGTTGATCACTCAATCTAGAAATAATAAAAATTCTTATTTTAGAATATCATTCATCTCATAATTAACTTAAATTCAAATTTCCATCAAAATCATACTATTCTCTTAAGTTTTCATATTCAAGCTCGTATCGGGAATTCTAAAAGTCCTGAACCGATCATATAATTCATATCTTAAGTATTAAATCTTTGAACCGG